ACGTAAGCGATATAAATTTTCGTTCAATTAGGATATTGCGTCTTTAATTTTATGTTTATATATTCAATATTTTAGAAAATTCAAAAAGTACCAGTTAAAGAACGAAAAATTACCAGAAATACTCCAGTTTAAATTTTCATTCACACAAGTCCCTGATTGCTTAGTTTTATGTTTTTATAAAAGAAATTCAAATAGTACCAGTTGAAGAACGAAAAAGTCCCAAAAAGTCCCGTTTTATATGTTCTCAATATTATAGAAAATTCAAAAAAATACCTTTTGAAGAACGAAAAAGTACCAAAAAGTTCCCTTTTATATGTTATCACTTAATCCGTGCGGTACATTCCTAATTTCATGTTTCTAGGTTCAATATTATAAAAAAATTCAAAAAGTACCAGTCGAAGAACGAAAAAGTACTAAAAGTCCCTTTTATAGATTATAATTTACTCCAGGCTCTACATATTTATTTTTATGTTTCTAGGTTTTATTTTTATGGAAAACTCAAAAAGTACCAGTCGAAATTTTGTAGCAAGCTCAAAAAGTACCAGTCAAAGAACGAAAAAGTACCAAAAAGTGCCATTTTATAGATTCTCATTTACTCCGGGCTCTACGTGCATAATTTCATGTCTCTATGTTCAATATAATAGAAAACTCAAAAGTACCTTTTGAAGAACGAAAAAGTACCAAAAAGTCCCCTTTTATAGGACCTCACTTAATCCGGGCTCTACATGCTTAATTCCACGTTTCTAGGTTCATTATTATACAAAAAACTTAAAATGTACCTTTTGAAGAAAGAAAAGAAGAACGAAAAGAGAAAACTCAAAAAGTACCTTTTAGAACCAAAAAGTTCCGAAAGTCCCTTAATTATTAATTTCATGTTTCGATTTCATTATCATAGAAAACTCAAAAAGTACCAGTTGGAGAATGAAAAAGTACCAAAAAATATCACTTGGTACCGGTGTTCCAAATAACATCCCATTACCATATTTAGTGTTTCTTGAATAAAATCAAATTTCCCGTTTTTACCCTTTTGGTACTTTTTTCCTCCCCATTAACGAAATAAAAATTCTGTTCCAAAAAGTTGGAGCCCGTTATTATGTTTCATAAAAAAGTACCAAAAATAGGTAAAATTTTCACCCCTTAAACGTCCGAATATCCAAAAAGTACTAAATTCATATTTTTATTTGTTCGTCAAGTTATGAAGGATTCCAAAATATTTTTGAATGTTCTCTGGTTTAAAAGATACATGGGGTGCAAAAGAAGAACCAAATTACAGTTTTTACCCGTTTATTCCCAAAGGGGCCGAATTTGAAAAAATTACCGGACACCTGTCCGCTTTTTTTTTTAAATGAACGACGATAAGCTTTAACTGTTTTTGTAACTTTTCTAGTTTAGGAGATTTGAGGTTACCGAATTTACGTTTTTACCCTTTTTTAACCCCCAAAAATTCGAATTTCCAAAAATCCCGTCTTATTGGATACATTTGGTGGGAGACCAACCGCTTGGTATAGTGTGACAACTATAAGGGACCTAAAGTCGACATAAAGCTCACAATGGTTAGTACCAATATTTTGCCCAAACAACATCTAAATACCTAGCCAGGTTATATCCTCTAGGTCCGTGAAGACATTCTCTACAAAGCTATAAATTTGTATAAAAGGCGGCTTAACAATTGTTTCTTGTAAATATTCGGCCACCATAGTGTTTGGAGACAACAAGAGCTTCACTGAAAGGCACACCAGACAGACATCGCGCTCTATTATGGGTGTATGGTAGTGATTCTGCTAAGATCAATGGTATAATAATAAGTATGTATCCCAAGGATACCCCTGAATACGGCAATCAGCTTCCGTCCATTGCCTCTAGGTGATAATATACCATGTCACCACTAACCGACCGACCACCACCCGCCTAGCTATAGGAGTAGGGATGCCAATCGGGACTGATATTTAGAAATCCCGGGATTCGGGATTTTGAAATCCCGAAAATCCCGGGATCCCGATATCGGGATTCCGGGATTTATTTAAAAATCCCGAATCCCGGGATTTCTAAATATCAGTCCCGATTGGCATCCCTACTCCCTAGTCAGCTAGGCGGGTGGTGGTCGGTCGGTTAGTGGTGACATGGTATATTATCACCTAGAGGCAATGGACGGAAGCTGATTGCCGTATTCAGGGGGTATCCTTGGGATACATACTTATTATTATACCATTGATCTTAGCAGAATCACTACCATACACCCATAATAGAGCGCGATGTCTGTCTGGTGTGCCTTTCAGTGAAGCTCTTGTTGTCTCCAAACACTATGGTGGCCGAATATTTACAAGAAACAATTGTTAAGCCGCCTTTTATACAAATTTATAGCTTTGTAGAGAATGTCTTCACGGACCTAGAGGATATAACCTGGCTAGGTATTTAGATGTTGTTTGGGCAAAATATTGGTACTAACCATTGTGAGCTTTATGTCGACTTTAGGTCCCTTATAGTTGTCACACTATACCAAGCGGTTGGTCTCCCACCAAATGTATCCAATAAGACGGGATTTTTGGAAATTCGAATTTTTTGGGGGTTAAAAAAGGGTAAAAACGTAAATTCGGTAACCTCAAATCTCCTAAACTAGAAAAGTTACAAAAACAGTTAAAGCTTATCGTCGTTCATTTAAAAAAAAAAGCGGACAGGTGTCCGGTAATTTTTTCAAATTCGGCCCCTTTGGGAATAAACGGGTAAAAACTGTAATTTGGTTCTTCTTTTGCACCCCATGTATCTTTTAAACCAGAGAACATTCAAAAATATTTTGGAATCCTTCATAACTTGACGAACAAATAAAAATATGAATTTAGTACTTTTTGGATATTCGGACGTTTAAGGGGTGAAAATTTTACCTATTTTTGGTACTTTTTTATGAAACATAATAACGGGCTCCCAACTTTTTGGAACAGAATTTTTATTTCGTTAATGGGGAGGAAAAAAGTACCAAAAGGGGTAAAAACGGGAAATTTGATTTTATTCAAGAAACACTAAATATGGTAATGGGATGTTATTTGGAACACCGGTACCAAGTGATATTTTTTGGTACTTTTTCATTCTCCAACTGGTACTTTTTGAGTTTTCTATGATAATGAAATCGAAACATGAAATTAATAATTAAGGGACTTTTCGGAACTTTTTGGTTCTAAAAAGGTACTTTTTGAGTTTTCTCTTTTTCGTTCTTCTTTTTCTTTCTTCAAAAGGTACATTTTAAGTTTTTGTATAATAATGAACCTAGAAACGTGAAATTAAGCATGTAGAGCCCGGATTAAGTGAGGTCCTATAAAAGGGGACTTTTGGTACTTTTTCGTTCTTCAAAAGGTACTTTTTGAGTTTTCTATTATATTGAACATAGAGACATGAAATTATGCACGTAGAGCCCGGAGTAAATGAGAATCTATAAAATGGCACTTTTTGGTACTTTTTCGTTCTTTGACTGGTACTTTTTGAGCTTGCTACAAAATTTCGACTGGTACTTTTTGAGTTTTCCATAAAAATAAACCTAGAAACATAAAAATAAATATGTAGAGCCTGGAGTAAATTATAATCTATAAAAGGGACTTTTTAGTACTTTTTCGTTCTTCGACTGGTACTTTTTGAATTTTTTATAATATTGAACCTAGAAACATGAAATTAGGAATGTACCGCACGGATTAAGTGATAACATATAAAAGGGAACTTTTTGGTACTTTTTCGTTCTTCAAAAGGTATTTTTTTGAATTTTCTATAATATTGAGAACATATAAAACGGGACTTTTTGGGACTTTTTCGTTCTTCAACTGGTACTATTTGAATTTTCTTTTATAAAAACATAAAACTAAGCAATCAGGGACTTGTGTGAATGAAAATTTAAACTGGAGTATTTCTGGTAATTTTTCGTTCTTTAACTGGTACTTTTTGAATTTTCTAAAATATTGAATATATAAACATAAAATTAAAGACGCAATATCCTAATTGAACGAAAATTTATATCGCTTACGTCCATTTTGCAAAAAGGGCTCGATATCAATCGAAATCTCTATAGGCCATAATTGACCCTGCCCCCTTCAATAATTGATTTTAACGTTTTCTACGTACTTAATAACACCATAAACAAACATATTTTTCAATCTCTTTGTGATCCCTTTAAAGGATGTTGTTCTGGAAGAACTTTAACATCCATGTAAACATTTTGGGTAATAAATTGGGGGACTACCAATGAGGGGAGCGGAACCTCCCATATGAATTAAATACAAAAATTCGTTTATCTGGGAAACTAATAGAACTAAATTCTTCAAATTTTGCACGAAGAACTTTAATATTCATCTGAACATTTTGGAGAAAAAAGGCGGACTTTCATCTGGGGGGCTTGGAACTCCCATATGAATTAAATAGAAAAATTCGTTTATCTGAGAAACTATTAGAGCTAGAATCTTCAAATTTTACTGAAGAACATTTAGAGAAATTGCAAAAATTTGCGTGGAATCTCCCATATGTAACAAATTGTATATCTGGAAAACCATTGTAGTTAGAATCATCAAAATCGTTAAGCTATTTATATTGCTTTTAGGGTAGCACAGCACACTGGGTATAGCTAGTAAATAAACAAATAAAATATCTTTGTTTTTACGTTATTGATAATTTTCTTAATGCAAAATTTTTTAGAAACTGATTTTCTGCAAGATGTTTTATATGGAGGATAGTGTTAAATATCGGCAGATCCTCGTAAAACTTGGAGAAAGGATTTGTTTTTAATTTTAAGAATTTTTTATTCATCCCTGCATAATTTCTCACACAACTTTTGAGCTTGCTCTGTTTTGTTGTTATAAACAATATATTTGCTTCCAAAATCCCACTTTCTGATCTCTCGGATTCCGTTTTTTATTTAAAATCGTTGAAAATTTAAAAACTAAACGTAGTTGTTGAAAACTTAGCCCGCTTACAGTCGATTTTAAGCCACCGCCGACATATTTGGTGTCAGTCGCCGCCGCCGTTAATATATGTCGGCGCAGGGCTCTGGTGATAGCACGCGTGTTTACCTTTTCTTATCACAATTGCAAAGTAGCAAAAAAAATATAACAAAACTAATAATTAAAAATATAAACAATACAAATAAGAGCATCAATCATATTAAATGTAAATAAATATTATTGATTTCAACAATATTTATGCAAAAAAACTTAAAAGACCGACTTTCTAACCTAAAATATTAAGAACATTGTGAAACAAGAAGTAGGTGTTTTTTTTAAAGAAATAAAACCGTGACACACATTTTTGTCACCCATAAAAAGGGGGTTGCGTGCGAGCGAGAGAGCGAGTGAGTGTAATAATGAATGCATTTTTGTAAAATGTTAACGAATTAGGCGAGCAAAACAAAAAGGAAAAAATATATTAAAAAAGGTTACATGCAATTAACATACATACATTCATACATTGATATATTTTTTGGTGTGGCCAGCATCATCAACAAAATAAACCGGCATTTGTGTGTGAAAGACTGTAGCCAACAATAAACTATTGTTTATTTATTTACTATATTATATTTTCTGTTATTTTTCTTAAGTAAATATGCATACACTACGATAACTGCCATAATAATAATAATTTATTATTGCTCTTTTTATTCTTATTGTAATTACATACAAATATTTTTTATTTAGTAGAGTTTAAAACGTGGAGCAGGCCGTACGTATTTATCTGAGAGCGGAAAATGCCCATCACACAAGATTTACAGTCACCGACTAGTGAAATGGTGTTACTAACACCAAACACTGAAAATCCACCAAATATAATTGCGGCAACTGCAAATGATCACAATAAACGCGGTGGCTCCGAGGAGTCCAACAACAGTCGAGTACAAATGAAAAAACAATTGGGTCTGCTTGAGGGTGTCGCCATTATTTTGGGCATTATATTCGGTTCCGGTATTTTTATTTCACCCAAAGGTGTTATCAATGAGGTGGAGGCTGTTGGCACTTCCCTTATAATATGGGTGCTTTGTGGTCTACTGTCTATGATTGGTGCTCTGTGCTATGCTGAATTGGGTACTTCGATACCCAAGTCGGGTGGTGATTATGCGTATATCTTGGAAGCTTATGGTTCATTGCCTGCATTTCTTTATCTTTGGGATGCTATGATGATTTTTGTGTAAGTATATAAATTGTTTATTGATAAAAGTTTTTTTTTTTATAATTGTATTTGCTAGTTTCTTATCTTGTTATATTTTAATTTATGTCTGTTGTAAGTACTTTACTTTAATGTCTGTGAAGTGGCGGTGGCCTTGATTTCATTTGAAATTGTTGTATTTGCCTTCATACGATTTTAATTAATCTCCCACTTTTTTGTCGGACAATTATTGTTTACAAGTACTAATTTGCTTTTTTTTTTGCAAAAAGTTGCTTTAATTTATTTTCAAACTAGTTATTTGCATGTTAGTTGTTTTGTATTTGCTTCTGGTATGGGCAATTTTTATACGTTGAGTAAAGTAGCAAATGGCAAATGAATAAAAAAAATACCTTCTCGCTGTGCCCAGAAAAGCAAGATAATTTCGAAAAATTTAGCATATACATACTCCTGAGAACAAAACCTAATGTTTGAAATGGGTTCATTTTTTAACGAAGCCAATTATAACCGAAAAGTTGACTTTCGATCAGAATGGACTTTTGTCTATAACTTCTTTGCTAAAAACGAAACAACTAAGTTTTTTGTCCACTTTCGTAACAATCGGGCCTCATTTAATCCTAGTCCCCCCACAAAGTCCACTTCGGAAAATTTCTTTAATAAAAGTTAAAAAATTATTTTACATTTTTCCATGGTATTATAATTGCATGTCCGATTTGGGCCTTATATGTGACAACACTGTATTAGAATAGGTCAATCTATAATTGTTATTAATATTTTTGCAACATAGTTTAGTAGAAAAATTGTATAAACCTATACAAATAAATAAAATATAAATTGTTTATGTATGTCATCATCTCAGCACAATAGCACACTTTTATTAGTTTTTATTAAAGTTTTTTTTTTGTGAAAATAGTTTCTAAGAATTTTGAGACATACTAATTGTCTAACATTAACGTTTCCCGTTGGTCTTGTTAGTTACAAGATATCAATATGTGACCACCGATTTGATCAAATTTTAAATGCTCTAAACTATATTAAAAAGAGGGATTGAAATATGCCACTAATATCACTAATTGTATTCTACATTTTGCTCCAACTAAAGTCAAGACTCTTAAAAAATATAAATAAATTTATTGTTAAAAGTCTTATTTTTTTTAAAGCGGTATAAGTTCAATCTAATTTTCAGTAGTTCTACATGATACTTTAGTTTATATGGGTATAATTTTGTATAGGGCTTTATTAATTTAAATTTTTGTCAATTGATTTTAATTAATTTATCAAATGACGATTATAAGATTTACGCAAATAACTAATTGTTATTAATCTGAAATAACAAAAGTCCAGGGTGTCTTTCCAAAAATGTTTTCAACATATCACACAAATCTTTTGCAGGGAAAATCAAATGTTTCTTCATTCCAGCTTCATTCATACTAATAGTTGAGAAAATTCTTATTAGATTTTTAATATTTTGTTTGTATTTATGTTTCACATATTTAGCTGATAAGAGTTTTTTAATATTCTATTTAGAAAATCATTCTTTTAATTAATTTTTTATTAATTTATGTATACTAATTAGTTTGCTCTTTGATACGTGTCAAATAAGTTTTGATTGCGATAGATTTAATTAATATTTTATGTTTTTTTATTCTTCATTACAGTGATAAGGGAATTTGTTAATATGTTTATTATTTCGTTTTATTTTTTTAAATATTTTAAAAGAGAAAGTAAACTGTTTTAATATTTTTTTCGAATCTCTATTAAAGGTTGTGATTTTCTGCAACAAAACCTATTTTTATTTTTAGACAATAATTAAAACATTAAGGAAAACTCGAGTATTTAATCGAATTTTAAAATTTGTTATAAAAAAACATTAAATCGAATAGTTCTAATCTAACTAACATATTTTCCTATTTAATTCACAGACCTACAACAAATGCCATTATGGGCTTGACCTTTGCCTCATACGTTCTACAGCCCTTCTACGAGGGAAGCTGTGAAATACCCACAGCGGCTAAACAAATGTTAGCGGCCATAACAATATGCTTTCTTACGTACTTAAATTCGTTTTATATGAAAGTCACCACAAAAATGCAAAATATTATAATGTTCACCAAAATAGCCGCCTTAGTTATGATTATTGTTATCGGTTTAGTATGGATGTTTTTGGGTGAGATATAAAATAATTTAAAAAAAAAAAAAATTCTATAAAATTACTAATGTATTTATTTTCTTTTAATAAATTTTCTAGGACATTATGAAAATTTCACTGATGCCTTTGCCAATACACAGACTGATCCCGGTAAATTATCGGTGGCCTTTTATTCCGGTATTTTCTCATATGCTGGTTGGAATTATTTGAATTTTATGACTGAAGAACTAAGAGATCCCTATCGCAATTTACCACGTGCTATTTACATATCTTTGCCTTTGGTGACGGTTATTTATGTTTTGGCTAATATGGCCTATTTGGCTGTTTTAAGTGCCGCCGAAATGCAAGCTTCTGATGCTATAGCTGTAACATTTGGCAATAAAATTCTAGGCACCTGGTCTCTTATCATACCGATTATGGTGGCTATATCGGCTTTTGGCGGTCTTTCTGTGCATATTATGACTTCATCTCGTATGTGTTTTGTGGGTGCTCGTAATGGTCATATGCCCGCCATATTGTCTCATATTAGTGTTAAACACTTTACTCCCCTGCCCTCTTTAGTATTTTTGGTATGTGTGTGTTACTTATACTCTCTAAATTATTAAGTTAATATTTATATTTTTTTCTTAATAAATTAATTTTATTTTTTAGTGTGCTCTATCAATTATTATGTTAGTTTGTAGTGATGTCTATGTACTCATCACCTACAGCAGTATAGTGGAATCATTTTTCATTATGCTGTCAGTTTCGGCTGTATTATATTTCCGTTATACCCGACCCAATATGGAGAGACCCATTAAGGTAAATAGTAAATATCTTCATAATGTGTATTGTTATTATACAATTTTTATGATTTTGTTAATTTAATTATGTATTTGTTTATTTCTATAGGTTTCTATGTGGATACCAATAGCTTTTGTTATCATTTGTGCCTTTTTGGTGGTAGTGCCCATCTATGTAGCACCCTATGAAGTAGGTATGGGTGTTCTAATCACCGTTATTGGTATACCCTTTTATTATGTGGGTGTTGTGTGGAAATCTAAACCTCAATGGCTGTTAAACTTAATATGTAAGTATAATGGAGATATTTAATCTAATGGAGTAGCTATAACTTGGAAATATCTTTACAAATTTCTCCTAAATTTTAGACTAGACTATAGACTAAACTATAGAGTAGACTATTGACGAGAGTATAGACTATATAAACTAAACTATAGACTAGACTATAGACTAGACTATAGACTAGACTATAGACTAGACTATATACTAGACTATAGACCACACTATAGACTAGACTATAGGCTAGACTATAGACTAGACTATAGACTAGACTATAGACTAAACTATAGACTAGACTATAGACTAGACTATAGACTAGACTATAGACTAAACTATAGACTAGACTATAGACTAGACTATAGACTAGACTATAGAGTAGACTATAGACTAGACTATAGACTAGACTATAGACTAGATTATAGACTAGACTATAGACTAGACTATAGACTAGACTATAGACTAGACTATAGACTAGACTATAGACTAGACTATAGACTAGACTATAGACTAGACTATAGACTAGACTATAGACTAGACTATAGACTAGACTATAGACTAGACTATAGACTAGACTAGACTAGACGATGACTATAGACTAGACTATCGACTAGACTATAGACTAGACTATAGACTAGACTATAGACTAGACTATAGACTAGACTATAGACTAGACTATAGACTAGACTATAGACTAGACTATAGACTAGACTATAGACTAGACTATAGACTAGACTATAGACTAGACTATAGACTAGACTATAGACTAGACTATAGACTAGACTATAGACTAGACTAGACTAGACTAGACTAGACTATAGACTAGACTAGACTATAGACTAGACTAGACTATAGACTAGACTAGATAGACTAGACTAGAACTAGACTATGACTAGACTAGACTATAGACTAGACTAGACTATAGACTAGACTAGACTATAGACTAGACTATAGACTAGACTAAGCTAGACTAAGACTAGACTATAGACTAGACTATAGACTAGACTATAGACTAGACTATAGACTAGACTATAGACTAGAACTATAGGACTAGACTATAGCTAGACTATAGACTACAGACTATAGGACTAGACCTACTAGAGACTAGACTATAGACTAGACTATAGACTAGACTATAGACTAGACTATAGACTAGACTATAGACTAGACTGATAGACTAGACTATTAGACTAGACTATAGACTAGACTATAGACTAGACTATAGACTAGGACCTATAGACTAGACTATAGACTAGACTATAGACTAGACTATAGACTAGGACTATAGACTAGGACTATAGACTAGACTATAGACTAGACTATAGACTAGAACTATAGACTAGACCTATAGACTAGACTATAGCCTAGACTATAGAGACTAGACGATATAGACATAGACTAGACTAATAGACATAGACTATAGACTAGACTATAGACTAGACTATAGACTAGACTATAGGACTAGACTATAGACTAGACTAATAGACTAGACTATAGGACTAGACCCTATAGACTAGACTATAGACTGAGACTATAGATCTAGACTATAGACTAGACTATCAGACTAGACTATAGACTAGGACTATAGACTAACTATAGACTATAGACAGACTATAGACTAGACTATAGACTAGACTATAGACTAGACTATAGACTAGACTATAGACTAGACTATAGATGACTATAGAAGACTATAGACTAGACTATAGACTAGACTATAGACTAGACTATAGACTAGACTATAGACTAGACTATAGACTAGACTATAGACTAGACTATAGAACTAGACTATAGACTAGACTATAGACTAGACTATAGACCTAGACTATAGACTAGACTATAGACTAGACTATAGACTAGACTATAGACTAGACTATAGACTAGACTATAGACTAGACTATAGACTAGACTATAGACTAGTAGACTATAGACTAGACTATAGACTAGACTATAGACTAGACTATAGACTAGACTATAGACTAGACTATAGACTAGACTATAGACTAGACTAATATACTAGACTATAGACTAGACTAGACTAGACTCTAACTAGACTATAGACTAGACTATAGACTAGGACTATAGACTAGACTATAGACTAGACTATAGACTAGACTATAGACTAGACTATAGACTAGACTATAGACTAGACTATAGACTAGACTATAGACCTACGCTCTAATTGATACTACGAAAACTGATGAAAAATATGTAAAATTTGTTTATAAATTTTTGTTTTAACAAATTCTTATATCTTTTCTTTTTTCAGCATCTTTAACCTTTACTTGCCAAAAACTATTTATGTCCGCCAAAGAAGAGAAATATGACTAAATATATACAAAATAAGTTGCCCTACATTTTAGAAGTTAACAACAACGTTTTTTTTATTATAATTGTAATTATTTATTATAAAATTATTAAAAAAAACGCTTAAATAGTAAGACAAATTTCATTGCATGACATCACAACAACAAAAGAAAATAACATTATTACCTGATAAACTCTCTCGCATTTCTTTAGAGTTGTTTTATACTCATTATTTCATTTGTTATTTTTGATATTTTAATGAATTATTTTGTTAATTACAATTATTTTAAAGTACATAATTGACAAAGTGCTACTAAAATGTTTGTTTTAACTTTCATACACAAAATAAGCACAAATATTTTAAATTGCAAATTAGTTTTGTGGTACAAAATTTAAATTTGACTTATGAACTTTTTGTAGTTAGACTGTATAATTTTAATTTATTTTTAGAATATAGTTATCTAATTATATGACAAATATTTTGTGCGTACTCTCATTGACATTTTCGCCTTTTTAAGAATTTCTCTTTGACGTCTTTGACAAGTTTATAAGTTTTACAAAATCATCATCATCTAAACCAAAAATCTCCTTTTTTAAAAAGAATCTTTTTAAATTTAAACTTTTTTTTTAACAAATTTATTTCTTTTAAACAAGCAGCCAGTGTATTTACCAGTGTCTGATTTTGAACTTTAATAAACATTTGCATTTGTTGTCGTTTTTCTTTTTACAATTATAATTTAAGATTTTCACTTGTTCATTTTCAATTAAATTATTTTATCTTATAGTTTTATATTTATTTTATTATTATATTTTGTTTGTATTTGTTCGGTTTAATTGACTATATTTTAAGATATAAAACGAAATTAATAAACGAAGTTTTTATATGTCACAAAAGA